AGAGAAAATAAATAAGGAAAGATTTTTTTGAATTCGAAATATATAAAACAAAAACAAAATATGTGCATTAAAAACTATTTTGGAAGTAAGTGTGTTTCTGATCCACATTACCACCTAAAACGATACATGTTCACGTACAAAGTCAATAAAAATGCGTCCAGAAGCGAAATATTACCTCCATCGCAGTTATCAAATTTCAAATTGCTCCTGGCCATAATTGGCCAGAGCCAAAAGCTTCGCTGTTGACTCTATAACGCCACAAGCTCCAACTGAAAGGGCAGGAGCCGCCAGCATTGGCAGTTCTTGTTTGACAGAAAACTGCAGCGTTGCAGCTGACTAGGATCCAGGATCCATGACGCTGGATCCATGAGGCAGGAGGCAGGATTCAGTTACCAGCAGTCGACAGTCGGCAGTCGACAGTCAGCAGCCGTAAGCAGTCGGCAGCAGTGGCTGGCGTGTTGGCTGGAGCCGTAACATTAGCAGTTAAAAAGCCGGCGAACAATGGGGCCATGTCAATCGCTACCGGCTCCTGTTGACTGAAGCGTTGCGGCGTTAAGTATACGCCGTGTGGCCGTCCAGCCTGCCCAGCCGCCGGATGTCATATTTCAAAATTGAATTTTTCGCTGTGCAGCAGCTACGGCCACAGCTGTTTGCCCCGTCATCATTGCAATGATTTTGAATTGTTGACATCGCCCGTTGAACGTTTGTCCTGCAAGCAAGAAGCCAAGCGCTTCGATACGATTCTATTCGATTCCCTTCGATTCGATTCGATTCGATTCGATTCCGTACATCAATACATAGCTGTATCAGCTTTATTTGATGTTTAGCAATTTCCTGATTTATCCCTCATGTCATTTCCGTTTTGCATTCGTATGCGCTGACCACCGTTCGACCCCCTAGGATACAAATAGAAAAAAATTCACAAATATGATAAGCATTGAAATGAAATTCTATGATTTCTCCCTCGGTCGTTTGGATGTTTGCTTGTGTGTGTGCGTGTGTGTTTGTATGGGTGTGTGCTATGTGATTACGTGTTTTTCAATGGCATTTCCTGCTTAGTCGTTGAGTTACTCGAAATACCGCTCGGCCCTTCGATTTTCGGCTATTTTTGTGGCTTTTGTGATTTGATTTATATGTTTATATTGCAGTTTATCTTTGTCATTGCTGTTGTTCCTGCTGACAAATTATAGGTTTGATTGGCCTAACAATAACATATAGAACATCTTTAATAAACACCTTTATCCGTTTAGTTTCTTGACCATTGAGACTTTAAAGGTTTCTGGAAAATCCGCAATTGAAACTGAATTATAAAAAAAAGTTATGAAAATGAAGGCTTTGTTCTCTTTTAAATTTAATGGAAGTTAACTTTAAAGCATTCACACAATTTACAGCTCATTGGAAGGGGTGTCATAAGATGAGTTAATTAAGTGCCTCAACGTTGTAGAATCAATTGAATTTACAAGCCGCAAAACACACACATGTAGCACTATGGCATGGAAAATCCTCCACCTCGCCCACGCACAGCAAATGGGGCTCATCACATTGTAGCCGCTTGCCTTTATTTTTTTTCAGCCAACATTATTTTTATGCAAAACATGAACATTTAATAGAACGCTCTACGAATTTTTAATGAGCTCCGCCAGCAGGACCTAAAAAATAAAGAGTGAGCCGGGAGTAGATTTCCTTTTTTTGGCATTTTACATGTTTTATGAGTTTTTTCCCTCGCTCCTGCTTTCTGTTTTTTTTTTTTTTTGTGGGCCCAGGTAGACCGACTCAATTTGGGCTGGCACCTTCCCCCTCCTTTTTTTTACATGCACTCTCCATTCCACGTACGGGTAATCAAATCAGTTGGTGAGGCAACTGCGTGCGTCACATAAATTTGCGCACATTTAGCAGATAATGAGCACAATTAGCAAAACGAGTGGCAAGTGGAAATGGGGTGATGGTTGAAGCCGGAGGACCTTGCAGCCGGTGGCAGATGGTATGCCTAACTTATTCAGATTGGCGGTAAAAGCTTTTCTTTCCGCTCAAAGTCCAGTCAAATTGTTCGCAGCAATATCTCAAGTTGTCGCCCGCCAACAAACAACCGCATTGCACCTAAGTAAATTATCGTGTTTCATTTGCCAAGCCATCAGTTGACCGACCGCCTCACTTTCGCCACCCAGCCACCCAGCGTTGGCAACACTTAGTCACTTGGTTTCATGAGTAAACACATCTTATAAATTATTCAAAAACGCAAAAAAGCTATTTGCAACACTTTACCGTTAGCAATGCCACCGACGCTGCTGCCGTTAGCATACATTTTTTAGCATTTCTTCGATGTTGCTGCTTTTGGTGTTGCTGTTGCTACTGCTGCTGATGTTGCTGCTGCTGCTGTTGCTGCTGCTGGTGTTGCTGCTGCTGTCCCAGACAATCAGTCAAAAACTTTGGCGCAACATATGCGTGGGAGGAAGAGAGATGATGTCGCAGTGAAAGGAAAAGGAAGCCAGGTAACAGCAGCAGCAAAAAGCATGACAAATGAAATGTTCAACTTGCGCTTAAAGCGAAACAAAAAAACGAAAGCCCGGAAAATGGGGTCGAAAAAAGAGGGTGGGGGGAAAGGGGGAGGGGAAAAACGCCAGAGTATATTTTGGGGACCCAGTGAAGTAGAGTCGAGTGAAGAGGAGTTTCGGCTGACAAAGTGGCTCGTCTTACGGCATCTCCTTTTTGGCCAAGTAAAAGAGTCCTGTCCGGCGGAGTTCACTACTCGACTTTCCTTCGGGGGCTTTCCTTTCCTTTTCCGTGTTGTCGCGCTAAGGCTTCGTTCAAATATTTAACCTAAGTAAGCGCTTGTAATTAATTTCACGCTTAATACTGACACTTTACCACACTTCTCAACACTTTTTCGGCGCCCACGCTTCGCTCTCGCTTTTATGGCGTAATAAACACGCATTTTATAATAAAGACAAAAAAATTGACTGCATAATTTATGGACGAAAAGCGGACGGGGTTTGCGGCAAACGCTTTCCTCCTTCGCTCCTCCTTTCCCTTTTTCCCTCCGCACGGCTTTTCACTTTTTTTGTGGGTAATTGATGTTCTTTACCCTGCAATTAACCCCCTCCATTACCCGCTCCCCAACACAAGATTTATGTCCCGACGAGAGTTATGTGACGAATTTTCTGAGAGAATTCTCAATTACACGCAATTAACTTGAACAATTTTCACAATAAAAAGCTACCAAAAAACAAAGACAAACCGCAGACGATGTAAAATTACTGGCAGGTTTGACAAACTCGGATTATTTTTTTTAATCTCATACAAAAGGATAATAGAATATTGGAAGTTGAAAATTTAACATTGGGATAAATGATTTTCTATTCCTTTAAAAAATAAATGTATGTTTAATATACGTAATATAACTCAATATTAATATTTTTAGTCTTCATAAGGGGTTAACCATATTTTTCGATCTGCATGTTCTTCGATTTTTAAAAAATGTTGAGCAAATGTCGTTCAACAGCTGCAAATTGGTCTTGCGTATCGATAATATTTTAAACATAAAGTGTGACGACAAAAAGTGTTGCATTACATGCGAAGCGATTGTTCAACTTTCTTGTTGAATCGTCTGAATTATGTATGAATCAAGAAATACAAGGAAATCTCTTGTCCTGCATTTTATTAACTACTGCCACGTTTAATTAATTGCTGGCCAGGCAATTAGCATGTGGAGAAGCCACTCCTTCACTCCTCACGTGTCAGCAGCAGCAAATTGAATTTTGTTAAAATGTAAACCCAGCAGAGGTTCATATGTGCTCAAAAACGAGCATATATTTGTGGTTTCTGCAATTGTTTACTGTCTGGCAAGCAAAATGAAACAATTAGTGCCTGCCCGCACTGACACTTGCCTGCCCCAGATATTCGGCAAAATGTCCCTTTTCCCGTATCTTGGAGGTCGGAATGAAGAGAGAGAGCCTGGTCCTTGGCCAGAATATTTATGCAATTCATTTTTGTCTAAACTAATAAGTTGTTGCTGCTGCTGCTGCAAGTGCCAGACGAGCAGGTTGTTTTATCTCATAATGAAATAGTAGACTGACTGACTCTATGCAAATAATGCAGATACACATGTCTCAGCTTAGCCCGGCACCCAGTTGTTAACATATTCATTGAATCTGAATCAACTTTTCCACTCCCCTAGGGCCTCGAGGGGTGTTATATATTGCTCCTTATCCTGGCCAAGAGCCGAGGATTTGTGAGACGCCTGCCAAGGACCGGCTTACTTAATTTGTGGAAACCTGTGTAATTGAACATTATGCAGCCTGTCTAATTGGGTTTCGTTTTCCTCTGCCGACGGGATTACTTCAAATGCACGGAAAGTGGAAACTCACATTTGTGGAAGAGCACTCTTTTATCTTTCTATTCGTATGTTGTTTGTGGCTTCCTATTTTGGATTGTACGTAACTTAACTTAAATCTGTACATCTCGTTTTTGGCTTGTACTTTTCAAAACATATCAGATGTTTATGTAGAAAACACTATAAATTAATCTTATTAAAATAATAGCATTTTAACGGTATAAGCTTGATTCGGTAGAAAGTAATTACAAATACGTTTCTATTTTTCTTCCTTTGCAATTATATTAAAAATTATTAAATTAAGTTTAAAGAGAGTTTTTTTAATTCTGTTAACAAAAATACAAGATTTGTGATGTTGTGAAGTTGAAATATCCTTTACGTTGTTTCTTACATATAATTAAGTCATAAATATCACAGAAATTAAAAGCCGTATTTGCCAGTCACATTCCGTTGTATCCACAAGTGCCAAGGTTATTGGGTCAAAGTCAGATAACTGAATTGTGACACCTTCGTGAGTAAGCAAATATTTTTGAGATAAGGGGAAATTCACCCCAATTGGCGAACGGCAAACAGATTTAATTACAAAGTCTGTTGACAAGCCGATAAGTGGCGACCTATTGCCGATGATATAAAGCCAAGACGCGGAAGTACTTTTCAGTCAGACGGTGCAATGTTCTCAGTTGGACTTTTGTGGAGCCTAGTGGTTCTGGTGGTATTTACCACTGCCACGCCCACTCCCGCCGAGGAGGGACGCATTGTGGGCGGCGAGGTGACCACCATTAGAGAATTTCCCTATCAAGTATCCGTCCAGTTGCACGGAGAGCACATCTGCGGTGGCGCCGTCATCGGTGACCACTTTGTGCTAACGGCGGCCCATTGCTTCGAGGTCCTTTTCCCCACCGAGGATTACAGTGTGCGAGTGGGTTCCGGTGAGCATGCGACTGGGGGTCACCTGCTCAGCCTCCGGCAGGTGATCACCCACGGTGGCTATAATCCCCAGAGCCATGACAACGACCTGGCGCTGCTCATCCTGAATGCCAGGCTCAATTTCACCGAGCACCTGCAGCCAGTGCCACGGGCCACCTTAGTGGAGCCACCTACCATGGACACCCGTCTGGTGGTCAGCGGTTGGGGACTGCAGGCGGAGGAGAGCGGAACGGGGAGTGCAGAAATCGGGGGAGGAGTCTCGCCCACTCTCCGTTTCGTGGACGTGGATCTGGTGGAATCGGATCAGTGCCGGAGAGCCTATCGCCAGGTGTTGCCCATTACCCAGCGGATGATCTGTGCCGCTCGTCCGGGTCGCGATAGCTGTCAAGGCGACTCCGGTGGACCACTGGTGGGCATTCCAGCGCAGGGAGGTCCTGCCCGGCTCTACGGCATCGTATCCTGGGGATTGGGATGCGCGAATCCCAAATATCCGGGTGTCTACACGAATGTGGCTGCCTTCCGCAACTGGATCGATGCTCAAGTGGGAGCCTGGGGTTGGAATGGACTCTTGGCAGCATGGAGTGGAGTCCAATAATTCAGAGACTAATGACTGTGAAAATCGGTTTTAATTAAAAACATGTGTGGTGGTAACATGATACTTTTGTTATTAAGTTACTTAAAAACATGTACAGGTTGTTGTAAATACAATTTAGCAAACCTACAAATTAAATTAAATATTAAATAAAGACATGTAATTGAATAATATTTCGACCAACCAAACGCTAGTTTATTAAATTTGTTTTGTATTATATTTTGTTCGGATTTTAAATACCTTTTGTATTAAATTATTATGAAAAACAAAATGTTTTGAAGTAAACAAATGCTTTTTTCAAACAAATGCAACAAGAAAAAAATTGGCTTCAATAAATGTAAATTTTTAAATATCGGCTTTTCTGTGGAGAAAATCTCCAGTAAACGCATTGAATATGTTTCATTTAAATTGTGTGGCCAGCAAGCCAGATGTTTATTTTGGCCTAAGTGCATAAGTTACCTGATGCCGACCGCAGCTCCCTTGGCTTGCTTTTCTTGCAGTGATTTCATTTGAATAAATCAATTGCCACATGCGCATTTGTTGCCACACCGACCGCAACCACACAGCAGACCAACAGACCAGCAGACCTGGCCAAAACAGTCGGTCGGGCAGTCCGTCGGTCGCAGAGTCATTTTGTCATTTTGTCAGTTTGCTGCTGCGGTTTTCACACTTTTTTTGGCAGGCCCACACACTTGCCCATGCTGTGCATCTATCTTTGGTGTTATTTCAATATCTGTTTTTCTTAGATGTTGGCCCACAGCCCGGAAAAGTCAACGAACCGCCAGCGAGCCAGCAAACCAGAAAACCAGCGAGTCCATAAGCCTTTTCGCGTGGCCCACGAAATTGGATTGCCTGTCGATGCTGATTTAGGCCTAATCTCGATATTTGGCTAATCGGCACACAGTCGGCCAATAAATTGCCGCGGCTTAAAAATCTAGGCACATTGGATAGGATCTTCTCAACTCGCGGGCCATAAATAAGCATGACTGTCAGAAAGGAAAAGGCGACGAAAGTTGGGCAGCCAGCTAAGTGAAAGTCCTGTCCCGATTTTCCGCATATTTATTTATTTTGTTTTCCACAACAAATATTTATCTCATTGTCCTTGTCCAAAGAAAGTTTGTTTCAGGCACCTTAGCGCGGAAATTTTTGCAATCTTTGAGCTGTCACAAGCTGAAATTTGACATTTATTCCTTGATACTGCTGCGTGTTTTAAAATCCTTTCTTGCTTTTGATATCTACAATTTGGATGAAAGTCTTTCTTATCCTGATTGTGTGGACGTAAAGTAATGAATCTAGCCATCTTGAGAATGAAAATTGTTCAATAAATGTTTCTAGATAGAAAAGAATCATGGGTTTTGGTCAACCAAAGCTGACTAGGACGTATTTATCTTTATTTAAAGCCTATATGTTCTTGTAATTTACACTGTTGCACCCTACATTCTATTCTATTTCTGACATCCCAAGGAAAACCATAATCAAATGCAGTTTGGATGCGTGTACCTCAGTACCACCTGAAAGTACTTTTTAAGCAGCCACCTGGGCTAACCGAATCCCCCACCTTTCCGCCGTTCATTGCTCACTAAACACGTCTCGATGTGTTTTTCGAGTTCTGTAACTCATTTGCAACTAAACTGGGTTCATTAAAGTTAATTTGAACGTGCAACATTGGCATGCCACGCAGAGTAACAACAAGGTGGAGGTGGCGGTGAGGGATGGGGGGAAAATCGGAAAATGGCGAGTGGCCGGGGTAGTTGGCATCTGGGGTCCCTGCCCTTTCTCCCCTGGCACGTGGCTTAGCGTCTATAAGTTTGACATTTGCGCAACGCAAAATGACAACTGCAAAACCCAAGACCTGGCAGAGTTGCAAAATGAAAAAGTTGCCAACACTCTGCTGACATTTGCATTTGTCTTTGTGGCAAGCGAAGGGAATGTGGCATTGGCCCCGGGTAAGTAGCAAAAGAAAAACCTTTCAAATTAGGACCAACTCCGGGAGTTCTTGTCGCACGTCTGGCCAGGTAAAAGAAATATGCAAATAATTAGCTGCGCTGCAAAAATTGTATTCCGGAAAGTTTTGTGACAAGCCAGCAGTTTCTGTCACTAATCAATTTTATGTGCTCGTGATCCCCAACAGTCCCCTCGCAGGGGGGCGGGGCTTTATCCTTTAAAGGAGCCAAAACAAAGACGTAAAGCGAACATTAGGGACATTTTATTACATTACATTTTTTATCTCCTTGGCTGGCAGCTACTCTAGACAGCTTTTGCGCACTTTTCCGCGTTTGTTATTCCGCGTATTATGTTACCCATGCCTCGCCACATTCCATCTCCCTTGTGCTTTTTTCCCATGCATGCCACTTACATTTTACTTTACGCGCTTTTCCGCACAGCACAAATGGGATGAGGAATGCCGGCTATCCCGGGAAAAATTCCACTGGCGGTGGTGAGCGGATTGCCTGATATGCTCCGCTGCTCTGGGGGTATCACAAAGAAAATGCATGCAGATGGAAAAATTTCCATGCGTTAGGTAAGTGAAAGGCTGACAGACAGGGAGAGCCGAAGAAAGACAGAGAGGGCGAGTGCTGAAAAGCACTAAAAAGTATTATCTAAATGATAATTTGTTGCTTTGTTTGTTGAGTAATGTAATTTCATATTCCTCCCCCACGACCACTGCATAATGCATGTTAAACATTTTTCCACTGCCTGTTTTTTTGCGAAATCCCTTAAATCCAAGATACCAGACTTTGAAAAGCTAAACAAAAGTTAAAAGACACACGCAAGGTTATTCCAAAGGTTTTCAGTTAAAATTTTAAATCTTTAAGAACATTTTTTAATTATTGTTCGATTGATTTGATTGTGAAACCTTTTTCTTGTGTAATCCTTACCTAATACTTAAAACCCTTTAAGTTACATATTTTGTAAATAGTCAAACAAATCAAAACAAGTTAAATATTTGCCTTTAATACTTTTATAAAATGGCTTATGTTTGACTTAGATACAGATTTACACAAATTTAAACAAAGTACTTATGTAATTGTATTTGTTTCTGCTTGTGTAACTGTTTCACAGTTGCTAGTTTATTTTAATACCAAAAGTCTGATATTCATTTAATTTATTTGATTCAGCTTTTAAGGGATTAGAAAGTCCGCAGAGGTATTATTGCCTCACTGCATTATTTTCTGTCACTATTTCAGTTTGCCCAGTCAACCTGGCAAGCGAAGTAAACAAACAATTTTAAATGAACATAAGTTGTGTAAACTAACTAACAGCAAAACTATTTCGTATTACGCTTTAAAAGACAATCCAATTGAATGGGATTGCAACGTTTTTGGAGCCGCTTCACCTGCAGCGCTCAGCTCATTCGGAATCAATTGGAATTGCAACGCAACTTGCAATGCAATTAAATGCCAAAACAAAGTTCGCAAAATTCAATTTGAGAAACTAAAATCGCTGCCCGTCTCATCTTGCCCTGTAGCTCACCAATCGCCATCCCCAGATCCTTATTCGTCCTGTTGGCCAGTCTAGTAGCTGCGGACAAGTCAAAGGCCGAAAGGCAAAAGGCACAAAAAGCCAAAAGCAAAGCTCCGAAATTCAATTCTGTTGCGCTCGATTGCGTTGCATTTCAATATAAATATTTATTTTATTTATATACCAAAGGGGGAGGGGGAAAGGGGGAGGTTACTTCGATGGGAGTGGCACACACAAATGGACAGAGCGACAAGTTGCAGCTGACAGTAAAAGATGTTGTGGAGCCCATTTGTTTTAGTCAATGGCAAGCACAAAGTCACTTCGGGTCCACTCAGCCAGTGGAGTTCCAGTTGAGTTCTCGGTATGCCAGCAGCCCAATCTGGAAAACCCCTTTCCCCCTTTTCCCCGTCAGTCGAATTCAATTTTCGAACTGATTTTCCCTGCCATGTGTGTCAGTGAGTATGTGTGCATTTCCAACTGCAATCGCCATAACTTTAGCTTAGCCATGGGTAACCATCTCGAAGTCCTTGTCACAACAAGCGCTCTGCAGTGGAGAAATGGGTGGGGAAAAATGGGGAACGGGTGGCTCAACCTGATGCAGCTTGGCATTCGGAAAATGCAATTGCAGCCAAACATGCTGGCCAATTTGTACAGCCTAGCGTTAATTTAAAATCGTTTTACATACCAACTAGTTGGCCAAATTGTTCGACTAACTCGAAATGTAGTTATCTATTAGCCTTCGAGTGTGGATTTGGTATTGGACGAGGGTAAAATAATGTTGACATCTTCTCAGATTTCTGTTTACTTTTAAAACTCCTGGAAGAGTGAATTTTAAAGCACGAGCTTTTCAGGGTATGATTCCTTTTTAACATCTTTAAGTATGAGTTTATATCATTACTTTAATTGACAAAAATTATCTTTATTAATTCAATATTATTATTATTTTTTTTAGTACGTTGCCTATATTTCCAAACAAGAACTAATGCAACAACGAGGACCTTATACATCTCATACCAACTCCGATAGCCTTCACCTTGCTGCCCCCTGACCCCGCATTCCCATATGCATTTATATTTGCACATTTATTTGCAAGGATATGAGAATTTCATGCACTCAGCCGCATTAAGTTCGTAATGCCGTGTGTAATTATTCTTTGTTTAAATATTTCACAAAGATGCACTTAAAATGTCAGCGCAAAAAGTGACGCGCTTTCACGCACACAGTAACACATTAATTCGCACACTCACTCACACAAACACACATGTGCAAATGGCAACCTTTGGCTCAAATGTGTTTTCGCCTTTTCTTTTCGCTCACTCTTTCATTATGATTTCCCTCTCTCTTACCATTTTGCACATTTGCATTTTTATGAACATTTTGCTGCTTACCCCGGAACCTCCGCCCCCTTCCCCCCTACCTATATTTCTATCCCACTCTAACTGCCGTAATGCATGTCCTTTATATGCGCATACACTAAATATACATTATGTACATGGGGCAGAGTGGGATGGCGAGTGAAATGTAAGAGTGAGTCGGCATTAAAGTGTATTAAATTACTTAAGCCGGTGAGCAACAACGAAGACATATGCTCAACTTTTAAAGCATAATTCCTCAAGCATAAATCTTTGTGGCTTTTCGCGAACAAACAAAAATTAGTTGCACTCGGCGACAGGCGAGGAGAAATCAGAAAAAGTGCACAAAAAGGAATAGCAGGCGAGAGCAACGGTAAATTATGCCCTGCAATATGTCAGCATGTTGCCATGAAGAGCCCACGCAAGAGAGAAAGGGACAGAAACAAGGAGTGGGAGCAGGACAGATGGTCGCTGCACCCATTTCGTTTGTCACACTGCAGGGGTCGCAGCATTTTCTCAGGAAAAGGCAGGGGGGGGAGGTGGGGGCTCAGACCCACTCCCATGCTTAATCAGAAATTATTTGAAAATGTAAAGTCGACATGTCGACGCACGCACAGCGAGTGCAACCACAGGAGCGCCACAGCCCAACACAAACGAAAAAAAAGGACCCAAAGACCCGCCCCCGCTGGCAACTGCAATTTGCAAACGCCACGACCTCATGACCCACTTCGTGCGGAGCGGGAAAGAAATCTGCAACAAGGAGCCAAACAAAAGCCAACCGAAAAACAAAAAACCGCCGACAAAGAATGGAGAAACGGGCACCAAAGACGCGCAAACCAACTTTCATAGACTAATGCAGACTTTGCACCATGCTGAGCGCGACTGGGAAGAAAGCGCTGGTGGAAGAAATGGCAAATGGGGGCTGGGAAGAAAGCCAGAAGACTGAATCCCTGGCAGAGTCGTGGCTCATTTGTTTGGCCGACTCACACACAAAAGTAAGTCGTAGAACAAGAGAAGACAACCAGAGGATGGTATAGGAAAGCGAAGAAAATGATACCCTACAGTATGCTTTTGAAAACAAAAATTAAGCGCATTGTTAATCAGCTTAAAAAAATCAATGCAAATCATATCATATTAACAAAAACCGGAAAAAAAATTTGGGTACAAAATTAAGCAGACTTAGTTACTTATTTCAATCCACTTTTTGCCACTCCGTGCAGGTAGTAAAAAAGTATAGTCTGCTTTTTAGGGCAATGTTTTCTTTTGGAGTGTGAAATTAAATAATAATAACGCTTTTCGTTAATAAATATCAATATCATTGTAGCAACAATTGCAAATCTTTCTTAAATTTATTTTTAGTTGTGATAAATACTTTACATTTACAGCGTATCTTTTTCACTTATTAGTTATTCGTTGTTGGACGCATTACAAAAGAGTAGACCGTGCAGCCTTCATTTATATGGCATTCGCTGTGATCCATTTTCACCGCAACTTCATCTTGAACTAGTTGGCAAAGTCTGAGATTCTGAGCCCGCACTGCCACTCCCACTTCTGCCCCCTTAATAATAAGTCATGTTAACTGAAAGCCCGGCGCTGTCTTTTTTGTTACTGTGCGAAATCCTCTCATTCTTATTTTTCCAGCGCGTGGCATCAACAAAAAACTTTTCGCGCACAATCAGTTGCGTTTCAACATGGCACTGCATCATTGTTGCAACTCCTGCTGTTGCTGCCACTATTGTTGCCTTTGCTTATAATTTACTTTTACTTGTGCGCTTTGGCTTTGTGCGGCTCCGTGTGTCGTGTAAAATATTTGCACAACAAGGCACGGAGACGAAGAAACGGGGCAACACGACAATGGCACAGGCATTAACCATAATAATTTTTTCTGGCAGGGGGAACTCGGATTCCGGACATGCCCATATAGCCAAGGTTCCTGCTGCCATTGTTAATCAGCTGCTGGTAAACAAAAGTTGCATTCAATTTCTTCAGAAAGGGCAGTGAATAAATGGAGGGTGAACTTATTTACTTGGTTATTTTAGATTGAAATACAAGTCCTTAAAAGCTAATTTATTTTTGGTTAAATTTAAGAGATCATACGAGGATTTCAAAAGTACTGGAAGAATTTTTAATCTTTTTCTCCTTAGGTGTATTTTTATTTATTTGTACGAATTTCTTTCCCAGTTTTAAAACATATTTTTTATTGATTTTGGAATAGCATACAATACACTTCGCATGCTGGCGTGTGACAACTGGAAAACACATCTGAGGACCTAAACTGACATTACTGGATTTTGGTTTCCTTGAGTTCCGACCACGAGTCCTACGAGGGAACCGTGCGTCTCAGTAGCCAAGAACGTTTTCGCGAGAGCTTAAAGGCTGTCGGGTCATTGGTGTCCTTAAGACTGGAAGACGGTTGCTTGTAGATGTGTCCTTGGGACATCCCCTCGCTAGGAATCGACAGTGGGAGTGGCTTCTGATGCTGAAACTTGGCACTCCACGTGCCATCTTCGCTGAACACCGATGGGCAACCGGCGACCAATTTTCCGGGTTCGGACGCTTTGATTGGGGACTTGCGCATTATCGAGGAAACGAATCTTTTAAGACCCATTCTTCAGTTAATTTTGATCGTTAGTGTCGGCTAATTTTGCTTTAATTTGTTTGTTTTAAAAGCGTTTAATACGTAAAAATTGCTCTGGGGCTGATATCCAAAGTATTAAAATGAATTCATGAATTGAGATGTTTTTCATCGCTTACTCCCCGATGACATTTCTCGGAATTATTTCGAAGAATTTAGAACTGCTGAGTTGGGACTTTCATTCGTGGAACTCAATTAGGCCGGGTGCACTCGCTCAATTCGATAATCGATTAGATTGCTCAATTTTATGGCGGAATCGAGAGAAGGAAAATTGCTTAGCAGCCAGAATTGTTAACCAAGTCATAAATACAAGTGTGTGTGTGTGTGTGTGTGAGTGTGTGTGGGGTCTGGAAACTTTTGCTCCCCGCCACCCCCAAAAAGCCCATTCCAAAATGCAATGCGAGCGCTTTGCAAGTTTTGGCCCACGACCCATTTTCTGTGGCACATCCACATCCAGCCAGTCAGGCCACGAAGCTAAAATAATTGATAACAGATTATGTTTTACAATCTAAGCAAGGAGATATATAACACGAGCATTTTAATGGCCACATGTAGCGGGGCACACGTAGAGAACACCCGGATCCGGCTCCTTCTTCTCCGGCTTTCCAGTTACCCGCAAAACGTTTGCAAAACTTAATTATTTCGTTTTGACCTTTTTGTCTTCGTGTATGTGTGTGTGTGTGCGAGTGTGTGTGAGTTTGGTTGCGGGTTCGAAGGGGAAGTGCGCAGAGATGGACAGTTAAAAAAGTTATTTATTTTATGGTCGAAAGTTACTTTGGCCCGTTTTATGGAAGCAAAAACCGGAAGGGCGAGGAAACTCTAGTCCAGCAGTAGCTTGCCAGAGCTGAAAAAACTGTGGCTAAAAGATAGCTAGGTCTTTTTACAAAGTAACCGTTTTAAGGAATTTTAAGATTTATTATTTTATGAATAAATGATAATACACCGCTGGTAAACTACAAATAAATAAAAAATTTAAGTTGAAATATGGAAGTCTTGTTCCTTAATAAAATCTCCAAATTAGGAATTCACGCAATATATTAACGAAAAAAGCGCACTGAATCGACATCACTACTCCCTTTTGCAATTAAAAACCAAACCAGATTTTCCAAGTGAATAATTTTTCTCATCTTTATTTAAGGCATTTGGGCCGCTTTCCTTGGCCCATCGCTGAGCTCCTTTCTTGGCTGCGCGTGGCCATGTGAGTTCACTCAAGCGTGGACCATAAATCAAAAACGAAAAAGATTTTTAAACTGGCACGCAAACGTGGAGCAGAGTGCCCGAGTTATTTTAACCATGGACCGATACACGGGAAGCGCTCTTCATATCCGCCGGATCCACCAATGTGACCGTTCCCCGGGCCATCGAAGGGCGAGCCGATCGCTCCTGGGACTGCGATTGCGACAAGTTGGTCACACTGGCGTCCAGTGGCAATTCCTCCTTGTTTTCCATCGCTCGCAAAACGGAATCCCTGAAGAACACGGTTTCGTCGATCTTGCGGCGGTAAAGTCCAGTTGGATGCTCCGGATCGAAAACTATATCCGGGCGAATATCACTATCGGTGACCAAAACTCGTGCTCCGGGAATCGGCAGGAATTTGAAGAGACGCTTTCTCAACTTTGGCATGTAAGTGACCCTTTGATGATCGGGAACTTGGTTCAACCTACTGGGAATAACTTCGGGTAATTCAATAGGATAATCCATTAGTCGCCTTTCTGGTGGTAATTTCTGCTTTATTGCCTCCAATTGACGAGAGGTCAACTGCAAAGGACGCTCGCCATCCTTCCAGCGCTCCTGTCCACTATTAAAGGCAATCTTCTTATTGTTTTTCAACTGTTTCCTCATGATTCTCTTTGCGGCACAGTTGTAGACTATTTTGGGCACATAAGGAGGCACTGGGAATCCCCTGATCGAAATGGGGTTCCTTTGCGGCTGACTCAGCATATTGATGTACTTGGCATCGGCGAACATGCTGATTGGCTTTCCCTGTTTCTTGGAAGCAATTGGTTTCTTCTGCGGCTTCGGCCTGTCCCGCTTTCCCATTTGGAATATGTGCCGGTGACCCTGACCTTCGACATGCCGCCAATCTGGCTCACAAAATCGCTTTCGGTTGATACTCTCAAATGGCTGTCGTCGAAATTTCAAACGCTTCTGGTCATCAATCAGCAACTGCAAACCCGGCACACTGGTCTTTCCCGCCGGACAAGGGCAAACGTTTGGATAGCTGGTGCAATATCGTCCTGGAGCTGGTTCCATACTAATGTGCCGGCGGATCAGGAGACTTGGTTTTGTGGGCACACAGGATTGCCGCAGAAACAGATGAGGATTTGGACGGGGTGTCTTCGTCACCGGAGTGGCATTGGCTTGCAGCTCATAGATATCCGTATGAGTGTCACAAGGTCCAGCATCCTTGGGATCCCGCCAACATCCCGATAGATTGGAGATCATTAGGTGTGTTGTGGGGCGGCGATCGCGGGCATCTAAAAATATGTTTTCAACATCAATTATCAATAAATAAACATATTAAATAAATTTTAAAGCACAATTTATTGGGCAAGCACTTGTATATCATTATAACTTATTTGGCTTCCAATCACTTACTCGATAAAAATATGCCCTTCTGCAAGTTCTCGCGCTTGAAGAGCCGCTCGATTTCCGCCGGAAGTTCGTAAAAGTGGTAGGGAGGTGGCTTGATGGACACCCGGCTGTGATTTATATGCGGCTTGGCGAAGACGGAGCCCTTGGTGCCCTTCAGTCGGAGGAAAGGCTCCGGAGGGACTCCATAGTGATTCGGAGGCAGCTGCCAGCCCCTCCATTTTGTCATCGAACGATTGATGTGAAGAGGTCGCCGTTCTGGATACGGATTCTTAGGTGTCTTATCAAAGCCCGTAATGTGACGATAGTGATCGTAAGTGGCCGTGCTAAATGCCTCTCGACGGTTCTCTAGAAAGAAATGTTACCAATCTACATATTTCAGAATTCAATAAAGTCTTACCCTTCTGGCAATCCTCATTGTAATGCTGTCCAGCCAACTTGAATTGCTTTTGCAAACGCGGCAAAGTTTCTTTTTTTATGCGGTTGCCTTAAAAAAAAAAGTCGTAATAAATAAATATTTAAAATCCTAGGCTTAACGTCTAAAGTCAAACTTACGAGACACCATAAAAAGCGGCAGACTCATCCGAGTGGCCACGAAATTCTGACGGTCCTCATTGTAAATCTTAACTGGTTTCTTTTCCATGTTTGTGGTGTGACTTTAATTTCTTAATATATAAATTTATTTGGCAGCAGTTGTTTGTGTTTGGCAGATTAAGTTAACAACGAAAAGTTTGCTTTTAAGTTGAGAAAGCCATGTTTACTATGATTTCTAGGAAAATAAATATCAAAATAAATGGCAATATTACTTATTGGCTTTGTTTATCTAAATATTAATTTACTTTGGCCAACAACAAAATTTTCACTGACGAAAGAAGTTGATTTTACGGAATTTAAAAGCCAACCTCCATCCCATTTCATTTTAAAAGGTATTATTTTAACGGAGAAATTATGTCCATCAATTTATCGGATTTACTTCGAATATACTTTACCAACGTGTTTATTACCAGTTCGATGTTCAATTTATTGTTTGTTTATCAATTTGTAAGACCAACCAAAGCCATCAATTCTGTGCAATTTAAGGGGTTATATACCTTTTTCAGAATCAAAAAATCGAAAAAAATTTTATGATTTTTTTTTGATGTACATACTTTCAACAATTTTTCTGCAAAATTTTTTAGAGATCGGGGCACTAGAACCTAAGATACAGCCGTTCATAGCGCACGGTGTGCATGACTACCTAATGTCCACCTAAAACTTTAACCGCGATTATCTCGGAATCGCATTTTTGAAAAAAGGTCGTTGCGGTGAGCACGATATCTCGGTAACCACTACATCGATCGATTTGAAATTTTGGGGGATTGTTTGTAGATACAATAGCTAGTTCGTGAACGAAGGAATTTTATTTTCGATAAATTTTTCTATTTTTTTGGGGCGAAAAACTAAATTATTAGACCTCGAAAAATCGGTTTTTTTGAAAAAATAATCACTGTAACTGTAAAAAATTTTTTTCGTAAAATCCTTCGTTCACGAACTAGGTAACACTATATACTAACGTAGTTTTTTTTTTTTTTTTTTTTCGTTGAGCCGTTTTCTTGTTTTCTTGCTCACCGCAAGCCTCTAATGAAAAAAGGACTTCTGCGGCAAGGACTATAACTTCCACAATTCTCAAAATTTTCACTCAAAATTTCAGACGAATTAAGTTAAGGACACGTACTTTGATAAAATATATATTGAATTTAAATAAAACAATGGCAACATGCTAAAAAAAAATAAATAAAAACCCTGTATTTCTCTGGTCAAAAAGGTATATAACCCCTTAAATTGCAGACCATTCGACAACCGAATAATTTGGTTACTTTACCCAGATCACTCGCACACGCTCACTCCCATGAATATTTGTAAATATATCGGTCCGCCCATCCACACACACACACACACACATTTATTGGCCACATAATTAGCGTAACCAAGCGAACTGATTAACTTGCATTCAACGATTTTCAATTGAATTTTGCAGTTCGTTGATTTGTGCCAAAAAAAAGAATGCGACTGAATACAAAAAAATCGCAACAAAAAGTTATATGGAGTGAAAGCGGAGACTGCCGTGTAATTTCAATCAGCCGCGAAGGGCGGCGGAAAAACGAGGGCGACTAAAAGTGGGCGTGGCAGCAGTCGGAGAAGCCTGAAGCGAAGCACTGGCTTTTTGATGCACCAAAGAATGGGAAAATATGCAACCGGGTAAATGATAAATGTGAAATGTGCCATTAATTAATTTGATTAAATGCAGGCAATCAGCCAAGCGAGGGCAGCCCAAGGGGTTCCAGTCAAGTTGGGAGGAAACCGAGGAAAGGGGGGGAGGCAGTAATCCACTATTAAACTTAAGGCAAAAGAGGGACAGCCAAAAATTCAAAATTAAAGTCATTAATTCAAAATAAGAAACGGAGGCTTTAAATAAGCGGAATTCTTGGCACACCCAAAAAATAAATGTGTTTACGAATTAGATTGTTTACAAAATGTACAAAAATTAAATGCTGTCTTTATTCTCATTATAATTCCTTGCCCACAAAATGCAACCACCAATCACAACTATTGTACGAATATATTTTAAATATTTAAAAGTTTGCCGAATTACAAGATACACTTCGATTGAATTATTTAGCTTTTTCGGCGTCTTCGTAGGTTCTGATGACTTTCGGCTTGAGATCGTCCTTGCCGCCTTTGCCTCCCTTGCCTTTTTTCCTTCTTGGCGGCCTTCTTGGCCTTTTTCGCATCTCTTTTAGCCTTCCTAGCAGCCGCTCTATCACGTTTGGCCTTTTTGCGCAGCTCAACTGTCAAAACATTAAGAAGAATATTTAGCTTCGAATAACAAGCCACATTTTAATCAAATGGGTTAAGAGCAAGGATGCAAGAGCGATGAGTGAACATTGTATTACGGAATACTACCAATTTTCCGCCAAAATTAGGAAGAAAACTTTCTTACCTTTGACCATTTGGGCGGTGGCCAAATTGACGGGCATCGGTGCGCATTTGAAACCAGCTGGCGGCGCTTGTGTCAAGCGGATGAATCGGTTGCCAGTTGCATAGAGCATTCCCAAACAGGCCTGTGGTCGAATGCGACTTTTGGGCCACTTGGTGAAGTAGAGGTCCTTGAGCTTGATCTGCGTCTTTTTCACTCCCTCTAAGTCGCGCCAGTAATAGATCTCCCGTTGAATCGTCTTGTCCTGAAGCTTCCAGCTGTGATTTGGTGGATACTTCTGGTAGCTGTTCATGCAACTGGGCTTGTCCACGCAAAACCACACGTCCGCATTTGGATAGAACTTCATCCTGACCGTTGAATCTAAGTTAAAATTTATTAACAGAAATTTTGATAAATATTGACTATTTTTTTGGGAATTTTTTTCTAATGCCAAGTCAAAACGAAAGCTCTAAAACGATAACATATTTAACTGAAAGATGTAAAGTCAAGGATGCTTTGATTAATTTTCAAGGATAGAATTATTTCTTAGGAACAAGCTTGGTTTAATTGGTTTTTCGAGAATATCCGATTATACCACTAACAACAACAAAGTACAAACTCATTTGCAAGCCGTGCTAAGTTATTTTTAGCTCTGCTTTTATCCGCTTAAAATGTATTTTATTCCGCCTGCGAGAATCAAACTTAAGTAAAGCAACTAACGGCCGACTAGTTACGGCACTAGTTACTTTCAGCCGTAAAAACTAAGCAGGCACTTGCTGCTTAAAAGTTAAGCTCGTTAGGAGAAGGAGGAAAAGTCTCCTGACTTGTCACACTAAAGCGACAAAGGTGATGTCGAAAAACTGTCAATTAGGTTTAATTATTTTATGCTGCAAGGGAGTGAAAAGGACACACATAAAAAGAGCGAGAGAGGTAGAGGGCAGCTAATGTGCAAAAGGCGTCTTATGCAAACCAAAAAGGGGGGTTTCCGGGGGCTTGGGGGCTTGGGGGATGGGGGTTCGCCGAGGCTAAGCAAAGTCAATTATCCAAGCAGCTTTGATGCAAGTAATTGGCATAATGAAATTTCCTCTCGAGCCAACACGACAAGGACAACCGCAAAGAATGGAAGCCGCAGCAGGAGCAGTGGCAGTAACCATAACCGTATTAGCATATCGGCCAGATCCGGGGGTTAACTGACAAGCCGTGGCTTTTTTAGTTCTTGCCCTGCGTATTGAGTAAATATTTAAGCAGTTCGCCAGCTGTCGCACAATATTAATAGCATGCATTCAGGCGCAACTTGAACTCAACTCGACTCGACTTTATTTCCCCATCCCTTTCTCTTCTTTTGGCCAAGAAAAAAAGAACTTGGAACAGTGGCAGCCCGTGGCCCCAAAGTGCAAATATGTTGCGGCCAAAGCCGCAAAAACGTTTAAATATTTTATAAGCCAAAGGCACTTGCCGGCCGGAGTTGCAACTGAGCCAGAGCTTCGGAAAGCGGAAAGCGGCGAAGGAGCAGCTAACTGCTGCAGTTACCAAATCGTCAACAACTAAGGCAGACAGGACAGATGCACACACACAAGCACATAGATATGTATCCTGTCTAATGGGAATCGGTTCGAGTGTGTTGCAGAAAAGTAGAGGGTATAATGGCTGGAAAAGGAAGATTACGGAAGATCTAGTCGGTTTTTAAAGCCATAAGATTTTGAATAGATCCAAACAGTGTATAATTTACTTCTACTTTTACTTAGTCTTACTTGTAAATTTTACATATGTATGCACATTATCCAAATTGAATTTTTAATATCTACATGTATAATAGCTCTGTGTGTCTAATATATTTTATATATTTTTGGTAACTAGGATTTTTAGAAAATATTACATACATCAATTTACTTTGAAGTACAGGTTATTTTATTTTAAACGGTGAGAGCTAGAATATTTTAAATGCTTTCAAACACAAAAAGCATTTAAAAATGAGTACCCACATATTCCAGGATATTTGTGATCCGACTCTTCTTCTTTGTGTAATCTCCCTAAATATCCCGACTCCTTTTTAGTTGATTCTGTTGCTATGTTGCCCAGCTCGTTTGGCATTCCCCTAATGCCATGAATTTTCGTTGGCTGCATTTCAGGCAGCCACTGTCCCCCCGTCAACCCCTTCGCACCACTAAGCCACGGGGATACTGCACATTGTCTTTGGTGGTTGCGGTGGTGACGGCGGCACTGGTGGTGCTGGTGGAGCTCCTAAAGCTGGTGAAGCTGGTGAAGCTGGTGGGGTTGGGCTGCATTGTTGCATTGTTTCGGTTGCATATGAACGACAGCTTTCCACACTTTTTATCGCTCCGCTCTGCTACTTATTATAGCATTTTTCTCCGCTTTCTTGGCTTTTGTGCGCAAATTTCCATGGGGAAAGCTGAGCCTCGGAGTTTTCGAGCTCTTCAGCTGTTGAGCTGATTTCGCAGGGACATAATACACTTGTAAAACATTCAGTGACTTTAAGCCCATACTCTCCACTCCAGTCCCTTTTGAAATTATCGTATTTCAATTGAATTTCTCACATGCGATTTGCATAATTGAATTTGGTCTTGCATTGCCGCCATCAGATGCTGGATAATTTATGGGGACTCCGGTTTTTGGGCCGCTCATTTCTGGATAATTATGCCGCTGAAGACGCGTCTGCTTTATTTTTATCGATGCGCATTAAAAGGCTTTTAAAATTTATTGATATTACCGACTCTATTAAATTATGCCACCACCTCGGCGACTGAATACATCGGGCTCTTTGCATTGATGTTGCTTTTGTTGTTGGTGTTGTTGTTGCCGTTTATGTTGCCTTGTTGCCTGGCTTTACAGCCTGGCTGAGTGACGCCTGGCGATGGCAGCAAATTTTCCATGTCGCCAGTGGCAGCAGCACCGAAAAGCAGCAACATCAGTTACAGCAAACAGCAAACAGCAAACAGCAGCAGCAACATCAAGGGCTACGTCCGTTGACTGGCAGCAAAATTGGCAATTCCAAAGCATCAGCGACGGCACAGCCGACGTTCACTTTTGCCATTGCCCATGGGAGGCGGTTCGGTTGGCGGGCTGGACGGATTGGGGGCGTGGCACACGCAAACTCAATTTGTGTGAAAAATACTTTTAGTTACTGTGCATATTTTAAATGTTACACAGCGCCAGCCACAAAAGCAGCAACAACATCACCAACGCACTGCCATCAGCGTGATGTGAATTTTATTTTATACATACATACTCTATATATAAAAATAAAATTATTAAAAATTATATTTTGCAGAGAGAGAAGAAGAAGGATGGCAAGCATGAGCGGTAAGCGGAATATGGGATGAATTAATGCAGAAAGACTGGCAGCCGTTGAAATCAGTTTATTATGCACACCCACACTCACACACAAGCACGAGCTCAACCTCGGCATACGTGTCGTATGATTGATAAATTTGCACTTTGAAAGCACTCAAAATGTATAACAAGGAAGGCGAACAAAAGAAAAGCATTGCGCCCACGAACAAAGTGAACCAAAGTGGCTAAAACCTCAATTATTTTGTTGCAATATTAAAGATTTTTATTGAAACATTTTTTTTTATTTAAATATGGATTACATTTTTTTGTGTAAGCTTTAAAACCCTAAATAATTAGAATTCCAGTCGTTACCATAATTGGTAAATTATTAATAAAAAACTTGATGACTTTTTTCAATATATAAATGCCACATAATTTAAATTCATTCCGCAACATTAGCACAGGTTTTTTATTAGTATTAAAATATAAATAGGAAGTAAGTTGCTAAAAAATGAATTAGCTTTACAGATATATGAATAATTTTTGAGGGAAGCAATTGTTCACAAAGTAATTAGGATTCATCACGCATCCTGGGATTGAAATAGTCACAAAGGAGCGCCAAAGAGACTCACATTTTGGCCAACATCACACTTCATTAGCACAGGTTATCGCGCTGTCTGCCGGCCAAAATGTGTGTGCACGCTCCTCTGTGTCGGCTTCCATTGGGAAATTTCGCATGCACATGGCGCAGACATTTGAAAAACGGCCAAAGCAATGGGAGATGCCCAGGCCGGGAAATCGGGGGAAAACCCCCGAAAACTGTAAAACTCCCTGGCACGAAAAAACTGCAAAGTTCGAAAACAGACGCAGACACGCCAGGCAAAGGATTTTCGACTGGGGAGGGGGAGGGGCGGTCTGAGGTCCTGGGGGCGGGGCCGAATGCCTCTGAAGTGGCAGACACGTAACCCCTTTAGCTGGTGTCAAAGGCAACATACAAATTCGAAGCTCCAACAACAGCTAGAACCAGCAAAAAAAGTGGAAAGAATTAGGGAGTTGGGGGCACACTGGGCGCCATAAATTATGCAGCGCGCGGTAGATGCTGCAATCTGATGCCGCCGTTCTGGCCCCCATTCCGCCGCCCATCTGCATTCAATTTGAACCACTCCGCATCATGCCCAAGCTGGAGAACCCCTTTCTCCCTGGGCTCGATTGCCCTGGCGGAAGTAGCAATCGTTGGGGCCAAGCTTATCCACGGAATGTGGCATCCACCAGGCTGGGCTGCGCTGGCTGCTCAATCATCAATCCGCGCGCTAGATGGCAAAAACTGCAACAAGAGTTGCTCCCAAAACTGGTGCAGCCAATCGGAAAAAGGTCATGGAAATTCGGACTGAACACAATCGAATTTGCGACCTGATTTAGGCCAGAAAGCGGAGATTTCACCGGACGGTGTCCTAATGAGTGAGTGCGCCACAGAAATGTTGGAAGTACAGAAGGGAACAAGGGTCCTCACTTAAAGCTGTTAATTAGGTGAACAAATGATTTAAAGTGCTTGTATAATCGATCTATTGTAAATATTGTTCTAACTTAATGAATAGAAAATATACATACATCAAGAGTTGCTCTTTTAATATTATTCCTTAATTCCTTCATTTTTGTTTTTTAACATTATGCTAAACACTCTAGGTAAAGTTTGCTGTTTTGGTTCAGGAATAAGCAATCTGCCTCCTTGGACCTTCAATTAGCTCGCAAAGCACCCACTCAAGTTGTCTTGACAGAATTATGATTAAACTAATATCAATTATTGGAGGCGCCTAGGAACCACTCTAGGGATCCGCCAGTGGAGTCGAGATCGAGTGGTTAAATCCGCGCAGCTTCTGCGTGTGTCATCAATGCCAAAGTGCCAAGGGCACAAGGGTGTAGTTTAAGGGGTGGAATACCCCAATTAATATTAAAAACTGTCCAGAAAGTCAGATGTCTGCATTTAATATAAATTCCCTTATTTAAATCATGATAACTTACTGAGCAATAGAATTAAAGGAAAACAAAACGGCACCCATCAAAAAATTATTATTTATTTTTATCTTACATATTTGAAAATAGTTTAAAAAAATTAAAAACTGTAAACTTCTCAAAAGCGAAACTTTTAACGCTTTTTTATATAACAATTTAAAACTTATGCGAAAGTATTCAAAC